TTTTTTAATTATTGACATTTTTAAAGATATAAGCTCACCCCGACATTACACTCATCGAGACCTTTCATTTCAGTACCCACATCAATTTTTCATATATTTTATATATTTATATATATGAATATATGAAAAATATATCAAAATGCATGTGGGTATTCAAACGAAAGCTCTTGATGAGCGTAACATCAGGATGAGCTTATATCTTTAAAAACGTCAATATTTAAGAAAGTACAGTGCAATTTACCCAAAGTCCTTATTTTATAAAGCAAAATATACTAATAAATTCAATAAAATTACCACTCTCAATAAAAAAAAAAAAATTACCTGACACAAGCCAAACAATATTTTTGTCTGAACGAAAACATATGCCTGGTAATTCTCTCAAAGAAATCAAAATCGTAATCAGTCTGAGGGTTGACCAACGGCTCGAACAATACAACCCCGACATCAACATCCGGCGCGGGAACAAAAGCGGACCCAGGAATAGTGAAGCAGAGCTTAGGAGTGGTCCAAGCTTGAGCCATCACAGACAGCCTGCAGCGCTGATCAAAATGCGGTTCTGCGACCAGCCTTTCAGCGACTTCTTTCTGAAAAGTCAGGCACATCTTGACCCTGCCCAAAGCCCAGGGTCCAGTTCTCTGCGAAATCATTTTTAGCCAGCGGATGATCAAAGGAGTAGAGACATTGAAGGGCAGGTTCCCGATGATAAAAGCCCTCGGGTTCCGAGGGTCGTCCCAGTTTCGATGTAATTCTTGAGGGAACACTTTCTTCATGTTAGTCCGCATTATGTCGTCGTAAAAAATCTCCATCTTGCCTCCAATCACCCCCAATGTTTCTGAAAGCAAGTCCAATGTTGGCTTGAACCTCGAGTCCTTCTCGATGACCACCAGCCTGCTTGGTCGCTTCTTTATAATAGACCTAGTCAGTCCACCAGGTCCTGGACCGACTTCCAACACATGCGAGCCCTCTATTTTTCCAACTTGGTTCACAACTCGGTTTATTATCTTCTCGCTTAGCAGAAAATTCTGGGCCAGTTCTTTGCGCGCTCTCAGGTGATATAATTTTAATACGTCGGCGACTGACGGCAAGGGAGGTAATCTCATTTTTGCTGCCATTGTTCTTAATTTTTTTTTTAAATTATAATGTAAAAAATTAAGTGATATTAATTATAATTAATAATAAAATTGATTAATATTTGTGGAGTTATTAAGTTACTAAGCCTAAGCCTGCTCTGTAGAAACAGTCTCAGGGAGCTCAAAATCGTCCAAAAATTTCTCCTGCTTAACTGCGTGAATAGTGTAAAAATAAATTCCAAACACTCCGGCGAATAAACCTGTTGCCATCCAACGATTGGTTTTTCGGATTTCTATCATACGAACAGCGCGTTTTAAATTCAACTCGTGGATGCGTTTTGCTAAGTGACGTTGTAGGGAAGATAATTTTTTTTCTTTGTCGAAATCAACTGGGGGCATTTCTTCCTTATCCATTATCTGTAAATTATATTGTTATTATTTATTATTATAATAAAAAAAAATTTTATTTTGTTTAAGAAATTTTTTATGAAAATTATTTTTTTTTCTGAAATTATAATTATAAATATTATTATTATTATTTATAAATTTAATAAAAATTAATTTAGAAGATACTTAATAATTTTAAGATTTTTGGTGATAGTAAATTATGGCAAAAAAATTAAAAAATTTTCAAGTGACTACTAAATTTATTATTTATTAGAAATTTTTATTTTTGTCAATAAAATTTATTTAAAATTAATTTAGAAGATATTTAATAATTTTGAGATCTTTGGTATTAATAATAAATTATGACAAAACAAATTAAAGATAAAAAAATGGTCAAATGGCTGGTAATTTTAATGTCATTAAAATTTAATGTGATACTGAATGAAATTAATAGATATTTGTTAATTTTTTTACAATTTTATTATTGTAATTAAATTATTATAAAAGGATTTTAATGAAAAAATTACATAGTTAGAAATTTTAAAAAATTGCTAGTGAAAAATTTTTTTTAATTGATTTGTGAAAAAAATTTTTTTAAATTGTTAGATTTCAATATCATAATTTAATAAAGAGTAATAATTTTTATTTAGTCTAATATTTATTTAAACGAATATTCAATTAAAAATAAGAATTAATGATTAATGAGTGTCATTATTTTTTATAATAAAATTTGAAAAATAAAAGTTAAGTTTTATAAATTAAAAAAATTAAAAAGAATTAAAATAAAACTTACTTAATAATTTTTTTGTAATTACCTATACAAAATAATTGTAAAATATTTATAAAACATTTTTAAAATATTTAATTTAACAATTAAAAGTAAGGTTATGTTGAAAAAAATAAAATATCACCGGACACTACAAAATACTTGACAATTATAGTTTATGTCAATTAAAAATAATTATTTTAATGAATTAATAGATAAAAAAAATTACCTCGCGAAGTGTTAACACTTTTTATTGATAAATAATGTGTACTGAGAGTAATAAATTACGCTGCACTGCCATAGTACACAGTGGAAATATTTCAGTCGGTAAAAAAAAATTGCATCAGCTGATTACGTAAAAAAACAAATAATTATTTACTTTATTAATATAAATTAAAAGAATAATTATTTTTTATTAATAATAATAAATATTTATGAAATAATAAATTTTATTAATTGATTTTTTAATAAAGTTGAAAAAAAATTAAATAGAATATTTGAATTTTATTTTAGTGGCGCGCATGCGCGAGTTCGAAATAAATATAGTTCACGCGCCGGGCGCTATGCGTCGCATTTAGAAGATAAGGTGCGGTAGACGAAGCAGGAAGTTAGATGAGCAGCAGAGAGTAAGTATAGTGTCAGTCCGTGTAAGTTTTGTATTAAAAGTGCGCAGGTGCATGAAAGTTTGATTTTTTTAATTATTTTGATCGTAACTTATTGAATATATTGAAAAGTTAAATTATTTCGCGAGTTTTAAGTAATTTGTTCGTTAAAAATTAAACTGCAGTGTCATGTTAAATAAAATGGCGGCTGTTTTGGTGATTATGCATCTTGCTGCTGTTTATTGTTTCTTTTTTTGGCATTACAGGTAAAGTAATTGTAATTAAATGATTGTTGGTTTATTTTGAGATAGTTTATAATTTTTTTTTATGATATTAAAGTTAGCCGACGTTTTTAATTTTTTGATTTATTTTTTAATAATTAAATTAGAACAAAAAAATATTTTTTAAAAATTGCACTTACAGTTTTTAAAGTTTTTAACAAATGAATTTTTTTTTCTTTTTTTTTGTAGTCATTTTTTCAATAAAAAAAATTTTTTAATTTTTAAATGTCGGCTAACTTAATTTTCATTTTTTTTTTAATATAGTTGAGAGATATAAAAATTTTTTTATGACATTAAAGTTAGTAGGCTTGACAATTTTTTTTTAACAAACAAATTAGGTTTGAAAAATTATTTTTAAAAAATTGCATTTTTAATTTTTTAAAATTTCTACAAGCCAATTATTTTTTCTAAATTTTTTTTTGCTATAATTTTTTTGATAAAAAAATTATTAAATATCTGCTTAATTAATTTTCATAATTTTTAACTTCCCGCTAAGAAAATCGAAGATTTTCAAAAATCGGGAAGTTATTGTTTTCACTAATTTGAGTTCCATCAATAAATTACTAGCTACATGAAGAGCATCTTGTAAATTCCTTTCGGTTTCATTTAAAACATCTTTACTTGCTCCACGTCGTAAATTTTTAATCTCAAAAAAAGTCCAGCCCCATTACCAACATCTTCTTCACGGAGTTCTTCAGTACGATTTACAATTGTTGCACCACATGCTCGGGCAATTCTGTTATTGGTGGATGTTGTACGGTTATTTCACGAAGAATAGAATATTCATCTTTACACAGAAAGAAAAATTTCTTGACTGGAGAACAAAATTCTTGGCTCAAGTAAATTTTCGGTCGACCGAAGGAAGACCGAACTTGTGTTGGCCGAAGTAAAAATTTTTCTTGAAATTCTATTCTTGGTGGAAGTAATTTTTTCTTAATTCAAATTATCATAAATACTTGATACAATAAATTTTTATATTTGATCAAGATTATTAGATACTTTAGGAAAGCAGCGCCACCTACTTTGAAAGTATATCTCTGATAGTTTTAGAAAATTAACATTCACCAAAAAAAAAAAACAATATTTTTTTTGTTATTATTTAGAATCAGTAAAATATTATTTCAACCTAGTCATGAATTTTAAAAATTACTCGGATATAAAAAAATATATTTATAGAATTTAGAGAATAGTAATTAAAAAAATCGAATAATAGATATGTCTGACATAGGTTAAAGTCAATACTACTCGCCGGTACAAAACCTCAAAAAAGCAATCACTGTATAAACTCCAAGCCATCTCTTTCTCTATCTGCTATACAATTAAAATCAAATCATTATCAGATTTTAAAATAAAAAGTAAATAAATACACAACTTAAAACTAGGTATCATTCAAAATTGATCTTTTTTAAATAATTAATAATTAGCTCGGTAGAATAACAGAGAGACAGACAAGCCACTCGACATTCGTCCATTATATTTAATTAAATGAAAATATAAATCGATAACAATGACTCTAAATAGAAGCCATTTAACTAAAGCTCGTCGATGGGTAATTGTATACTGTAGTATTTCCCAGCGATTAAGATCAATCGGATATTGGACATTTATTGTCCACAAAATCCGAGTAATACCAAGTTATGTCCAAGTACAAGCTCGGTTTATCGAATTAAATTTAAAATGCCAACAAAACCCTCACCAACAACATACCAACAATTGGTTGGTAGTGAAATGGAAGTTGAGTGCCGGTACAGTCGATATTCTGCAGAGGAATTGGGGTGATGCTGCCATACAAACTCTCTACTCAGATTGGATCGACAGAGATGCAACCAGTCACTCTGTTTAGTACACAGTATAACAGGTAGGCAGCTCGAAATATTCAAAACTCGTCGATGCGTGGATTATGTCGACAGTAGCTAATAATTGGAGCGTAATAGTATAGGCTAAAGCCATTATCGTTCGGCGTTAATACGGCCGTTTACTTGGATAAATTTCGGCCTCTCTTTACTGCGCTGCGATTTCCGATCAACCCCCTGTATTTATCTTCTCACTACTAGAGCTCCTGTTTCTGCTGGATTATATTTTATAGATAGATATTAACACATTAATTATATAGATTTGGATTTATTTAGTTCATAAGCTGAAAAAAAAAAAATTAACTTGATTCAAGAGAAAAATTCTTGAATCAAGAATATAATTTTGAAAAGAGTAATTGTTTTGAATCAAGACGAAAAATTCTTGAATCAAGTAAAATTTTCTTAAATCAAGAAAAATTTCCTTAAATAAAGAATTTTTCTACTCAAATCAAGAATATTAAATTGAGGTAATTTTTGCTATAATAAAAAGTAAAATCTAAAATTATAAATGTTGAAGCAATTTTAGGTGAAATTTTCCTATAAAATAATCTTGTCCACAAGATTTAAGGTTTAAGATCGTGATTTTCAAGTCTATTAACACTTATGGCTCAATAAATTTTTTTTTTTTCATGATAATGTCTCTCAAAATCAGTTTTAATTCTATCTTACTCGCTTTTTAAGCTCCTTTCACGTTAAATAATAATATTAGAAGCTTTAATTATTTATAAATTTAAGTAATAAAATAAATAGCTGTATATATCGTTAAGAAATTAAAATAACAACTTATCGTTAAATTTTTGAAAATGATTTTATTAATTATTCAAAAATATTATAATTTATAAACCAATTATCAGAACTGGTTAATTTTTTTTAATTTTAAAATTACGAAAATTGTACCAATGACGCAGTTAAATATTTAAAATTACAAATATTAATATTATTAATATTTTTTTGAATTGAAAAATATTTTATTAACGAGTCAAAAATCAGATTTAACAAAAAAATCATATTTTTTTATTATCAACCATAATTATCAATTATACCCTTAAAGCCATAAGCTTTTGAAAGGACTGCTAATACCAGCTTGCACTAATTGCTTCCACGGTTAGATGCACAAAATATTGTAGCTATAACACAATTATAATATTATGTATATTTATATAAAATACAGAAATAGCGATCGAAACCCGCGGAATGGAAATAAAGCACAGATTATCGGATGCAGCCCGATTAGATTTCGAGCGTGTTATAGGAATTCGCGTGATAAATCCAACGGAGAGGGCTGAAGTGTGTAAAGCGCGAGGTCACGTAATTTTCGCGTTAAATCAATGAGTAATATCGTCAGATAACTGACCAGCCTACAGACCAATGAACATTATTATTATTGACGAATGGTCACTGATTAATGTATCAGCTATTCGCTAATTAATTATCGATCATTTTCAATTCATTCAAGTGGACGCTCGACGGTCTTCTGCGGCTTGACACGGCTTGATGAGTTGTTGATTATTTAATATTAATATTC